AAGATACTGAACATGTAATCTTTAAATGCAAGAAATATAATAATTTTTAAAAGATTAATTTATATGCATTATATCAAATGCACCTTTACTATTTGTATATTTCTTCATGATTTCTTTGAATTCCATTAATTTTGTTTAATATATACTGGAATTTCAATGAAACTATGGTTTATTTTGAATATTTGGGAACATTTGTCGATAAGATTTTTCTTTGGTGAGAATTTTATGTGAATATTCATTTATTTCATTTTTAATATCTATATGGCCATTAAAAGTTAATTCATTGTCTATTGTGTAGATCAGTGGATTCTTCTTTATATATTTAATTCAATTTGTATATAAAAAACGCATTTCAGCACTACCAGACTACGTTTCCTACTACCTTTTCACAAAAGGCTTTTCACAAAAGGGGATAAAATTGTTACCCGCTTCTCTTTCCTTCTCAAATGCAACCTTACAACGCAGTCGATTGACGCAAATGTCAATATTTATCCAACCTTGAATCATGCTGCACGGTTACATTTGAGTCGCCCAAAAAGACATTTGTTAGCAGCGCAATTATTTATTTACTCTCCTTATCTCTCCATTCTTTTTTTGAGTGCGGGCAAACACAAACCGGTTGGAGTATGCGAAAGTAAAAAACCGATCAATAGCAAGACAATTACACCGACTGAAAAATATCTGCAAGTAGCGTACTGTGCTTGCAAGTTCTTAATGGCGTTTTCTTTTCTCGAAAAAAATTCACTTTCTTTAATGGCAACATTATCAGAGTGCAACATTTTAAAGAAAGAGCACGCAATATGCATGTTAAGATGCTGATAAAGGAACACGAAAGCTTCACAGCCCTGGCGCAGGGCAGAATAAATGCAGCATTTTTTTCTAGAAAAGAAAACGCTATAAGTATTTTCATTGAGCTGTTGATTATTGATATAATAAATAAATATGAAATTTGAGCTTGATTAATAAAGTTTTAAAAACTTTATGGCACAAAAACAAAAACAAATCGATTTAATAGTTTTCCAAATATCTCGAGAACGGGGCGAGAAAGATTTAAAAAAAAAATCACACATCACAATTCTCTATGAAAAGAAATATTTAAAAAATTTAAAAATTTAAAAAATTTTTCACATACAAATTTTTTAATCAAAAAATTAGTTTTTGAAATTATGGCATCTCAAAAAAAAAATTAAAAAAATCACAATCTTAGCTCTGAGCATTGCGCAATATTTAAGTATAGTATTATGGGGTGCACTCTACAATAATTTGAGCTATGCATTTTTTTACACCGAAGTTGAGTAAAATGAATACATTAAAAATTTAAATTTTTTTTTAGAATCTTTTTGAGTATTTCTTCAAGTGGGCCCCGAATTTACTAAGATTTATATTTTTCAATGATATTCACACAGCGCCGATTTTTGTAGCCGAAAAGTACACTGTATACATTTTATTGCAAAATTGCAAATAGTTTTTTTTTAATCAACAATTGAAAATTTTTGCAGTGTTTTGGAAATATTTTTTTTCTTTGAAAGTAAGTGTCCGAAGGAAACAATTTTTTGGGTGCAGATTTAAAAAACATTGAACTATACAATGAAATTATTTGTGTTTCATATTTTCAAAAACGAATTTTTTTTATCAAATAATTTGTATGTGAAAAATTTTTTAAGAAATATTTTTTTTTTAATTTTTACAGAGAATTTTGATGTTGTATGTGCGATTTTTTTCAAGTTTTCTCCTCGAACCGTTCTCGAAATATTTGGAAAACTACTTGATCGTTTTGTTTTTGTTTTTGTTCTCTAAAGTTTGTAAAAATGTACTAATCAAGCTCAAATTTCATATTTTTTTATTATTTATGTTTATGGGCGATTCCGTCACGGGTTGGACATTTGTACAGAAAAAATTTTCTTGTTTAAATTTAAGTATTAAGTACTCAACAAATCCACATTTTAATAAAGCTACTCCTAAATGACTATTATGTGAGTTATTACAAAATATGAAACAAATTCCAGCTTACTTTTATATGGGGAAAAACTGATCTATTTCTTCTGTCACGGGTGGGACAAATAAAAAAGCCCGCTTTTTGGAGCAGATATATTTTACGGAAACTCTGCGAATTTATTTAACTTTTCTGTGTGAACTTGATGTCTTATAATAAAACAAAGAACCAGGAACACAAACAAAGCAAAAACTACAAAAAAATGATGGCTTTATTATACAAAAAAACCCAAACTTCTCTGTCACGGGTGGGACAACGTTTGTCACAGGTAGGACACGAACGAATTTTTATATGAAAAGGAGCTTTTAGTGTGGTCCATATATAAAGATTAGTTATTAAAAAATATAAGAACCCAAGTAGGGGTTAAATTCACTTATGTTTTATCTTAGGATGGTGCCTTTTATATAGAAGAAAATGCTTAGCACCGTCAGCAAAAAAAAAATGATAAAAATTGACGCGATTTCCTAGCGTCTTGAAATTTTCACTTTTACCTACTTAAATTTAATGGACTACAAAACTGCATACATGGCAAACATATGCTCTCTCGCTTATGGGTGTCATTGTGCCATTATTTTGTTTCCATTTTTTTAAGATTTACAGATTTATCGTCAGACTAAACAAAACACCAATTTTCGCGTTTTGAATAAAGCAAAACACTAAATTTAGTGCGGAAAGCACCAAGTTGGCAACAGTGGTTTTAAAGCCTTTTGCTTTGCCATTTTCTTTTTTTCTATTAATAGTTACGACTTTCGCTATAGATTTTAATAACACGCGAAATAGTATACCTTGACACGTTTACCTTTTAAGCGATGGCTTTGAAAGTCCAATTTGGATTTACCTTAAAAAATCAAACAAGCAAGTATGTTTGTATTTCCGTTCCTTATACTAGGTTCACATATAAGTAGATTAACCTCATTTTCGAGCTTAACACCCTAATCTGTAATTAGAACAAGAGATTAGCCATATAAAATTCGTCCCTTGTTAAGCTGAAATTAATCGAGAACGCAGAACGTATACTTAAACGCAGTCTGTATACGCAGAATTTTGTCGATTATTGGAGCCCTCAGTGTTGCTTACTACACTGTTGCCACTCATCAATGCCTTTTCATAAACTTACCCTTTCAACTACAACTTTTCGTGCTATAATAGATTTTGGCTAAATATAAACTACTTAGTTTTCAACAAAAACCTTATTCAATAGTAAATTTCAAATATTGTAAACATATTTTAAATAGGAACTTATAACTTTTTTACCATCTGTAAAACTGACGAAGTGGCAACCATCTAAAGAAGGAGAAATCAGCTGACACGGAAAAATCTAAATTCCGCAGATTTCTGCGCTACGGGCTACAACTACAGAAAAATTCTGCGGTGTTGAGTTTTCATTTACATGGCGCTCTGGTAAGATAGATCGTGTCAGCTGACTCGGGTTTACGTACCGGTAGGTTTACGTTCTTGACTAATTTCAGCTTTAATCTGTAATTATAAAATAATCTCAGATTTAACCGATAACTTTTCGGTGTCCGTCCTAGTTTTAGCGATTGTTTTTGCGAAAAAGAGGAGAAATGCCAAATGTAACAGCCTCATCATGTATCTCGAAACGAGCGTTCGTTTCGTCTGCCAAACGAATAGTTCGTGACTTGGTACTTTGTAATACGTTTTCGTCTGGCAACGCGAAAACAGCTGATCGTTACGTTGCTTTCGTCTAGTTTCCAATTTTCTAACACGAAAAGGAGACGAAAGAGAGCTAAGTAAATACAGTGAAAAATTTATAAATTTCAAACAAAATAAATGTAATCAATATAACAAAAAATAATAATTTATGTTTTCATCAATTAAAAACCCACAACAACACAATTTGAGGTGCTAATTCAAGAGATGGACCAAAATCCGGATCTGGCAAGACGAGTACCAGTCAAACAGACAGAGCAAAGGGTCAGAAGCGATGGGACGGGATAATGGAAGAAGGTAGGCTTATACTTGGTAGCAAAAATCCCCGTAACATAACCAAAAATAAGATTTGTTTATTTTACTTCAGACATGGCTGACCTCAAAAGCCGCACTTTGCGAACTATATTCGTAATATAAATAATATAAATATGACAGGTGGGATCCCTTTCAGCATTCACGGCTGACGGAGATCGAAAAAACCATCGACTGCATCACTTCTATGTCGAAGGCCGTAGCACCAAGTAGCGCAGCGCTTAGAATTTCAAGGCTTTCGGCATTACAGGCAGCAGCGTCCACCTCTGATAATTTGTCAGCGACTGACATGCCAGCACTATTCGACAGCAACGATACGCAATTCAAGGGGCTACCCCTATTCGGTATCATCCCAACGCTCGTTGACGCACTACTCGCCACTCCAGAACCCACAAATTTCACCAGTAACTACACAAAAAATATCTCAAATTAATGGCAAAAATAGTAAATAACATCTGACGCTGACGCCCATTTTCTATAAAGTGTGCCAAATAAATTAAAAATAATAAAATTCTAAAGGAAATATACAAAAAATACCTTAATATGTCATTTAGCAACACTTTTCTAGACGAATACAATGTAATCGACGTAAAGTCTACACGAAAGCGATCGTTCGACTTACAAAATTGTAAGCTGAGAAGAATTCGCCTGCAGACGAATCGTTCGTGTCCCCTATCGTTCGAGATACATGATGAGGCTGTAAAAGTAAACAAAAATGGACGCCAGCAAGGAAAAGAGGTTTGTAAGGGTATTTTTAATAAAATGTTAAGTTGAGATATATTTATATTGCTTATTATAGCAGAAAAACGTGATCACGGTGGCACAGAGAAGAAACATAACTTTTCCTTGAGATGTGAGAATAATAACCACAACAAATTTGACGGCTAATAATCTGAGATTTACCTGTGTAAACGGGGTGATTAGAAAACGAGCTTTGATTGTGATAATATTGATATGTGAACATACTTTTAGTTTATCTTTTGTTCTTATACAAAAAAAAAGCTTATGATTATGGAGTATTTACCTTTTCGCAATTGAATCCAATTGTAGGTACTGTATTTAAATACTGATCAAATTTCAATCTATAAAGAGCCGTAGTTTTTCCGGCTGAATCAAGGCCAAGCATAACAACGTGTAGGGTGCCCTAAAAATTCAAATAGGAGTTTTGAGATATGTAAAAATACGAAATTCAGAGACCGTAAATATTACCTGAGAGGGCAGTGCATCTAAAAAGTGTCCCCCATTTTTCCCCATTGCTGTCCCCATTTTAGAGCAAGATATTTTGTGTTTGTTCAGCCGCTTTTGCCTTAGTTTTTACATTGGTTTTTAGCTGGAAGCAAATTAGTTATTATCGAATTGTCCATATTTGTAGGCATTCGTCTATTAAGACACACATATACACATCTTGGTTTTATCTGTAATAGAAAAAAAAGGATTTTATTGAATAATTTAGTAGTCATGTGTGCTAAGAGTGACATCGTAAATGTAAAAATACAAAGCAATAGTCTTTTTTATTCCAAACCGCACTAGAAGAAAAGCACTAACCTGCGCAACCTAGTTGAAAATTAGCATCTAACAGTGCACAGTATATACAGTAATAAACATTTTTGAGTACTCCTCGGGGGTAAAATCAGGGTTGATAATGAGAAGGAGCATGAATTTTGCTGATTCAGAGTTGCATACAAAATTACTGTGGTATGAAAGGAAGCAACAACCGTACTATGGCAGAGTGGCACAGGTAATTTTGTAAACAAACACCTTTCTTATCATTTAAAAAGATATCCAGGGGGTCTACTCTGTAATGCGATGCGAAAGAGAAATACGATGCGATAGGGAATCGTCACAGCATATTACTTACGGCGTATTCGCCTTTCGCATCGCATTTCTCTTTCGTATCGCATTACAGAGTAGCCCCCCAGTTTGTAACCAGAGGCAGTGGCTTGTGAGGCTCACTAAAATCTACTCATCATATTGGAGCAGCTCCGGGTAATGGACCATTGAACGTGTTGGCTGAACTTATGACCACCATAACCACCCAGTCTCCAACCAAATGCATGTCTTGAATTTATAGGGTAGCAATTCATAGCAATTGCTATTGTATTTGTGTATGATTCATATTTGTGACATTCTATACTTTGATGTTAAGTATTTTTGACGAGTTCCGCTCAAACGTGTGCTTAATGAGCTGTCTGGGCGGATGCGCTGGCAGGCATTGAAGTCTCTATAACTAAGCAAACCTTTTTTTTGTTTTGGAATAAAAACTTCAATATATTCGGAAATTTAGAGTTTCCCAAATACGTAAACTTAATTTTGGCCTCTAGATTACGATGGCGTTTTCAGAAAATCCGTATCACGTTAAAATTGTGAGATATTTAGGGGGGAAGTTTTAGAGTTCTTAAAGTGAATTTTTCGTCGTTTAAAACACTGTGCTCAGGTCTTGAATTTTTTTCTGGGCAAAGGTTTGGATAACTTAACTGGGATCTTTTAAATTCAATGGCGTCCTCCGTTTTACCAGATTGGCTCTAGTTTTCGAGATAACGGTGCTTGAAAATCTGCTTAAATTTTAGGTTTTTTGTTAATAATTACCTCAGTTTTAAGGTTATTTTACTAAAATTTTGCACGTCACTGTATTTTGATATTACCTTAGCTATTTCTGAAAATCATGGAAATCGGTTCACTATAACATATAGCTCCCATACAACTGATTGTTCAGATATGTGGTTTTGCGTTACAACTCATATTTTATTTCGTAATATTTTTTTATAATAGTAGTTTATACACTGCTTGGACCTGAATTTGCGTTCTTTTCAATCCCAATCTGGCATATTTTTGCAGTTTGTGTTGTACGAATGTAATACCTTTTTTTACTGTGAAAGCTGTTGTTCGTTAAAGTCAAAGTGACTGAGTAATGCTTTCAAATAGGCGGCGGTCTATACCGCGTCTATTACACATAAGTTGGGAACCAAAAAAACACAAGCCGAAAATCTACGCGAGCGATTACTGTCATATTAATTGATAAAAAATATCGAAAATTTTGGAAAAACTTTAATTCATCATATCATTGTCTTCGGAAACTCCTAAAGATGAAAAAAATTAAAAAGCTTCGCAATAAATTAAACTAGTTTTGTTTCGTTTGTGGTAGATTCGTTTACATTACCATTTGCAACGTTCGTACTGTGCAGTCGCTTAAACATTCGTTTGAAAGAATTTCTAAAGTTACTTTGTTTATCGAAGTGCTAAGCAGTTCTAATTTGTGTAATTTATACTGGAAAAAGCTATTTGAAGCCAAGCTCCAATAAATTGTTGTGTTTTAGACATAAAGTGCGTGGATTAAAAATAAAAAATTAATATTCTTTTCATTCCTTGTGCATATTTGCCTCGTTTGGTGCATTATTGTTGTCTTGCGTGAGAGTGCATTTTCCCATCTTCCGCGATTTATCATACATTTTGCTTATCATCGATCAAATAATTTTCCTGCAAACAGCTCATTTTGGCTTGCTTTTATGTTTTTAAGCTTTTAAGCTTTTTGGCTCAGTGGCTTTAAAACTGTTAAGTTCAGCACGGTTTCTAACCATTGAACTTACAATACCTAAACTTCTGTGTCTCTCAAACGCTCATCTTTGCTACTATCGTACTAATAGCGTACACTGTGAGTTTTTCTTGTACATACAAATTGTTACTACTTCGCGCTGCAATGTATTCATCCTGCTGTTTTGAAAAATGTAACATTAAAAACGACTTAGAGCGTTGCGTTGCGTATTGGTTGTGTGATGACTTAGCTTACGTAAAATGTGCTGGTCTCAATGGTAGGGTGGCCGACATCATAACCGATAACAAAGGTGTTCGTTGGTTTTGTCCCAAGTGCAGATCAACCGAAGTAGAGCTTTGTAAAATGTTTAGGAGCGCCAGAATTGGCTTCCAGGAGTTGGGTAAGGAGTTAAAACTTCTAGACGAAAAGTTTAAGCGATATGAAGATGCATTTAAAGACTTTAAGTGCATTGAATCTTCATCCTCTCCATCAACCAAGCTTAAACAAGCTTCAAAAAAGCGGAAGCATGGAGGAGACAGCATTGTTCCTAATCCCATTTCTTTAGACATTGACACTCCGCCAATTGATTCTTTGCCTACTCCCGGCTTAAATAAGGAATTAAAAAGTTTTAATTCTCCGTGTGTTGAGTTATCTCTTGAGCTGCATCTTCCTCAGGTGTCACTACAAGGGCTGCAGCAAAAACGACAGCTGTGTCTGAACCTACATCTCAAAGCGGGCCTTCTCTGTTACCGAAAGAATTAATCGTAGTTCCTGCGAATAAATCTGTGTTTGTTTCGCGCTTTTCTAGTGAAACGTCGGTAGAATATGTGAAGTCTTATATAACATCAAAGCTTAATCCCCGGCACATAGCTATTAGAAAATTTAATTTTTCATACGAAAGTAGCATATCTTCCTTCAAAATTGATATTTCCGCCGACCATTTTCAAAACATTGTTGATGGTTCATTCTGGCCCAATGGTGCTTTATTTCGTGAGTTTGAGTTTAAACCTCGAGCTCGGAATGAAAATACTGTTCAAATTCCCTTCAGGATCAAAAAACTTATAAGTAATTTTCTCTTCAATATTTATTTCCAAAATGTTAGAGGTCTAAATACAAAATTAACTGAGCTGTACTTAAAGTCTTTTGATTTAAATTATGAAATTTTGGTTTTTACTGAAACTTGGCTAAAACCGAATGTGTTTAATAGTGAAATATTGTGTAGTAAGTATGAAATATTTAGAAATGATCGCTTAGATAGAAAAGGCGGGGGTGTTTTAATAGCTGTTCAGACCGACTTTTCCTCTGAAAAAGTTGTGTTCACAGGTTCAGATGATGCTGAATTCCTCTGTGCTAGAATACGGTGCCCCTCAAGTAGTGTTTTTCTTGT